GCTATGTAGCCTGTCAGTAACCATCACATGAACACAGACAGTGCAACATAGCTAAATATAATAAATGTTTAACCATAACTGATTCACCACTTCTACTTGGTGTGAAGAAAAACGTCAACAGAAGATGCTAACTCCTCGACGAACCTTCAACGTTTCCGGCAAACGGCTCATTCCTCTCGTCTCGACGATATTAAAACTTAGGAATGTGTTTTTCTTCTTCTCTTACAGAAGAGATGCTATGCTTCCATCTGGTAGATAACGACCTGTTCAGTCTTGCTACATTGTTTACAGTCCAACAAGAAACTTGTGATACGATAATGGAGACGGACTTCCACAGATGATGTCAAAGAGTGGATTGTTTGCTGCGCTTTGTCTACAGATATGATTTTATGGAGATTAATGAAGCTAAATCATTTTCATTGTCTTTTTATATAGGATCTGTAAATCAAGATCATGTTATTGGACATCATCCACCATGTGGTCATACATACAATTATTTATTCAATCCATTCTTGCTCTGTTCACCAAAGTGCTTTACAGCCCACACAGAAATACTGTTTGCAAATAAGAGAAGGAAATGACCTTGCCCTTTCTCTGGAATTTATCTGGCTAAGTAGCACCTACTCAACAAATTTCTTCTTTAACAGGCTGTTACATCGAGAGATTAAAGTCGAATATTAATGATCAGAGCATAAGAGTTAAAAAATGAATAATGTAATTTTTGTTATAAAACCACTAGAGTGCTGTCAGTGACAGTTATTTAAGTTGACATTCAGATCTTCTGTTCTCATTGATCTAAACTCATTTAGGCAAAGCACTCTGATGAAGTTTTTGCATTTAGTCAAACAGGTTTCAGTTCCTCTGCAGCTGGTTTCCACTCAAGGCTGTGGGAGTTTCTCTAAATGTCTTTGTGCTCAAACACCTGCGAACACTGAAACAAAACTATCAGAATCCAGAGTGTCAATGCAAATCTGCAGCGTTAGGCTTTCTACACGACCACAGCTGCACTCACTGGACAACGAGTACAAACAGGAGGAACACAAAAGCTTATAAATATTCTGCTTCTATAACACAAAACGTTAAAATCACTCATAGGTTGTAACTTATTCATGACTATGCTGCTAACAGTTCATGAATAAAGTTCATATCAATTCAGCTGGCAGTTAAACAGTTAGCAAGACATGGAAAGTATTTTTCAGAAAACATAATTTTCTTGATTTGAAAAAACAACAACAAAGAAACTCAGCATGACTCCATGATTGTGTTGAGATAAATAATGTGCACCCAAAAGCATGTTTAACAAAAAAACATTCACACTAATTGCAGGCACAGTGTAAGAGCTAAAACTGGGGGTCTCTTGTACGACCATTTACTGCAGTGCTTTATGTTGACTGTGGGTGTCGCTGTAAGACTTCTGCTCAGGTATGCATATTAGAAAGAGTCAGGTGTGTGATCCAGGAAGGTTTCTGAACGTGAGGTTTGCTGTTACTGTGAGTTTGGGGAAGTTTGTTTGGCTCAGTGATGGACTTTAATTCACATTGTTGCATGTTTGGATCAATGAACTGTTCTAACCACAACCCGGTGTGGCTGTCAGTCATTTGTAAAGGTTGAGTGCAAACTAAGGAAAAGCGTGTCAGCCAGGTCACTCCTTGATCAAGCATCTCAACAACTCAGTACTAGACTGACCTCCTTTACACACAGCATTAAGTTCAAACTATATAAAATGGAAAATATTGACTTCAAGATGTCGCTTTCTAAGTCAAAAAGGAAAGTTGACAATGAACACAGACAGTTTCAAGAACGATGGACATTACAGTATTTTTTTGTGGAGTTTAGTGGACATGCAACCTGCCTGATATGTCAGGAAAGAATTGCCGTTTTAAAGGAGTACAATCTCAAACATCATTACTGCACTAAACACGGAGAGCAGTATGAAAAGTACCAGGGAGAAGAGAGGAAACAGCGTGCCACGCAGCTACAGAGAGGACTTCTTTCTCAGCAAAGTCTTTTCCACAAATCCAAGAAGGAGGCCGATGCTGCTGTTGAAGCAAGTTACGTGTTGAGTGAATTAATTGCCAGAACGGGGAAACCATTCACGGAAGGACAGTTTTCTGAAGGAGTGCATGTTGCATGTTGACATTCTGTGTCCAGAAAAGAAGAGTTTGTTCAACAATATTTCTCTATCGGCAAACACTGTGGCAGAGCGGATTAGCAGTTTATCAAGTGACATTTATGACCAGTTATGTGACAGAGCAAAACGTTTCACTGCATACTCTGTGGCGCTTGATGAAAGCACTGATAAAACGGACACTGCCCAGCTGTCCATATTCATCAGGGGTATTAATGACCAATTCGAAGTGACTGAAGAGTTGATGAGTTTGTGCGCAATGCACGGCCGCTCTACAGCTGAGGACAGTTTTCAGCAGCTCTCTGATGCGATTGAGCACGCGGGTTTGCCATGGAATAGACTGGTTGGCATCACCACTGACGGAGCCCCGTCCATGACAGGCAAAAAAAAAACAGACTAGTAGCGCTGGTACAGAGAAAATTAGAGGAGGAAAGTGTAGATCCAGCAGTTGTTCTGCACTGCATTATACACCAACAGGCACTGTGCAGCAAATGCCTGAAATATGAACATGTCATGTCTGTTGTCCTGAAATGTATAAACTACATCAGGTCCAGGGTTTACAGCACCGCCAGTTCCGGGCCTTTCTAGAGGAGATTGAGTCAGCATATAGTGACGTACTTTACTTTACTGAGGTGCGCTGACTCAACAGGGGAAACGACTTGAAGAGATTTTTTGAGTTAAGAGCAGAGGTGAGGAGATTTATGGAGGATGGCAGAATGGATGTTCCTGATTTGCATGATCCTAAATGGGTTATGGACCTTGCATTCCTAGTGGACATAACACAGCAGCTGAACATCCTCAACCTGAAGCTCCAGGTCCTGATCAGCTCATAACAGCAGCATATGAAAGTGTGAAAGCCTTCTGCACAAAACTGAGATTGTGGAAAACTCAGCTCTCTGCCAAAAACCTCAGTCATTTCCCAGCATTCAGATCTCTTGTGGAACAGGGCACAGCATTCAGTGGTGATGAATATACCTCTGCTATTGACAATCTTCTGCAGGAGTTTGATCAGCGTTTTGCTGACTTCAAGGAACACCGGGTCACTTTCCAGGTATTTGCAGACCCTTTTTCAGCTGATGTTGAGAGTGTCCCAAGTGTGTTGCAAATGGAACTTGTTGACCTGCAGTGTAACAGTGAACTGAAAAATAAATTCAGAGAGGTACAGGGAAGGCAGACCTGACTGGACAGTTTCTAAGAGAATTACCTGCATCCTTCCCAGAGCTATCCAAATTGTTCAGTCGTGTAATGTGCCTTTTTGAAAGCACATATCTGTGTGAGAAACTTTTCTCGACAATGAACTTTAATAAATGCAAGCAAATAAAATCCAGGCTTAGTGATGCACACCTTGAAGCTGTACTCAGGGTTTCAACTGTGACCTCCATCAAGGTAAATGTGGCTCATCTGTGTGAGCAGAAGCGCTGCCAGGTGTCTGGCAAGAAATAAAATGCAGGATTAATGTACTGGTATTTTGAGTAACTGCATTTTTTGGTTCAGTGCAGGTTTTATTTATTATTTGATTAAGTTATTTTAGTTATTTAAGTTATAAAGCAAACACAAAAGACTTGCACTACTAAATAAAAGCAGATGTTTTGAAAAATGTATATAAACTGCTGTTTGTATTAGTGATGTGTGACAAAATTTTGCGGAAACAAAAAGTACATTTGCAAAAATAAAGTCCTTTTTGTGGTGCTTGAACTTTGTAGTGGCCCTCCTTTAAGTCGACAGTACTCCCAGTGGCCCCATGCCAGTTTGAGTTTGAGACCCCTGCTTCAGAGCCTGAACACCAGTAACATGAAGCCACCAGAGGGGGAGCCCTCACACCAATAATGATCATAACACCATTAAAACTGACAGTACTGATGGGTTGTGTTTAAAAACAGTTAGTTACTTTCTACCTCAGCAGTGTATACTTGTTGTTTGTATGAAATAAAGAAGACCTAGCATCTTGGTTACATTTAAATGTAATAACTGTGTCTCTCATATTGCAGCTTCTACTGTGCAGTGTGTACTTCAGGCATTTATTGAGTAAGGCCCTGCATTAGTATCTCTATAATGCAGCTCTTGTTCATTACATTATCCCGTCGATCATGCAGTATGTATTATTGTCCTCCTGATATTTATTGTGTAAGGCCTAAATACATGCAATCAATAATGTTAAAAAATAATTATTGTATATTTTATATGATTCTGTTTTAATAGCAATAAAAAAACACCTTGTAGTTCATACAGATATTCGTTTGATCATTATCTGTCTTTCCCCACTCCTCTTCCCTTCACACAGTCACAACTTCATCTTTTCTTTCCATTCTTTAACCACATCGCCAGATGACGGTACCCCGCTCAGCTCTGATTTCATTCAGTTACTGCTCCTTCTTGGACAGGTGAGTCTTATCAGACACAGGTGAAAACAATAAGAGCTAGGCACACATTATGAAAATACCTTTGTTTTAAACAGAATAACTCACAATTATCAGGATCACATTCACATCAGTAACTGAACCAGAGGTCTTTAGCTTCCTCTATGGTGATCTTATTCAATCAGACTTTTAGAAAATTAGATTTTAATACATGTGATCACAGATGTTACTGTATTTTTCATAACTGTCAAAAAGTGGAGATGTGTGTTCTTTTGCTTTGTGTGCTTACTGAATGTCTGCCTGAATTGAAATACCGAAAAAAATTAAAAAAAGATTAGCAAATAAAAAGGTCAATTGCGTTGAAAATTTAAGTCCAGATGTAAAGAGGTGATATCCAAATTAAATTATTTTTCTAATCACTCTGAGGAGGAGTCAATGTAAATCTCTGATGTGTTCCTCCTCTACTTATGTGAGAGCAGAGAGGACGACAGAGAACAGTGGACACACAGTTGAACATGATGGACTATAGGACAGGACTGCTGCTTTTTACTGTCTGCTGGGCAGGTGATGATCATCACTCATCTTTACTCTAAAAAGTGTTCTGAAAGTGTCACATCTGATGGTGTTCTTTTCTGTCTCTTCAGGTGTTGATGGTCAGACTCTGACACAATCTGAAGCAGTGGTTAAAAGGCCTGGAGAATCCCACAGACTGACCTGTTCAGCCTCTGGATTCACATTCAGCAACTACCATATGAACTGGGTCAGACAGGCTCCTGGAAAAGGACTGGAGTGGATCTCTTTCATACACACATCCAGTTCTTATATCTATTACTCCTCGTCAGTCCGGGGCAGATTCACCATCTCCAGAGATGACTCCAGCAGTAAACTCTATCTTCAGATGAACAGTCTGCAGACTGAAGACACTGCAGTGTATTACTGTGCCAGAGAGACACAGTGAGAGACAAGAGCAGGAGAGTCGTACAAAAACTACTTCCTCTATTTATCACCATCACGGGGAACTTTCATGTTTATCAGCATTGATACTGTTATCTACTGGAAGAGATGAAAATTCAGTTTCAACCTTCATAATTAAAACTTTTTTACTTGGGTACTAATGTTTGCAGACTTTGCAAAACACTTCTTCTGTTTTTATTCAATGCAGTTGATTAAATTCTTTGTATCTGTTTGGAGAAACTGTGTCTACATTTGGTTTGAACTCCAAGCATACAGTAGAGATCAACATGTGGACGAAAAATGTAAAGATTTAAAATATTCCACATGATATGAAGATAGTACACCAACATTATTAATGAGTAATTATATGTATTTCTATATAACCCTAACCCTAACAAAACATTTTCTTGTAATGTGGTTAACTAAGTGGGCTATAATGAACTGGACTTACTTGCCTGGTGGTAATGGTAAGGTTAGCTAACATCAACAGTCACTTTATATTTGTTTCAGCTTCAACTGACACTGACTATTGATTACATATTGAATTAGAAATGATGATTAGCTGGGCCTACTAGGCAATATGGCCATAGTATAAATAGTATAATATACAGTATTTGAAAATGTATAAAAGGTAACTTTAGTGAGACTGTCAGAATGGACCTGGAGCATGTTTTTTGTTTTTTACTGTTTTAACACATAAAGCTGCTGCCATACATCCTGAATTCATGTACTACAAGGACTTATTTTTATTCATACTAGTTCTACTTCATACTTTTACTTTACTTCTTTGTATATGGAGAATATTCAGAAAGGATTGTCCATATGATAATGTTCACTGTTCAGCTGGAGCTGCTTTTGTTCTAATGTTGTTTTTTCCCTTTACAGAATCCTTGTGGCAGTTTCAGTCTGGAAGGAGAAATCAGAGGGAGGTGCAGGTCCAGGGAACAAGTTTCCCTCAGAGGACAGGTTGTTTATTCAGTTTTGAAACTATAACAGAATTTTTTTTTCACTTCTCTGTTTAAAATGTATCTACCAAAACTCTTTTATTCACTTTTTATACATTGGAAATGGCCTTTGCTAAATGTCTAAATGTAAATATTTGTGCTAGATTTTTTGCCTATTTAACCTTCATGTTCTTAAAGTGTATTTTCTTTGTTTATGTCACAGTTTAAATAAAGAAAGATGTGGTTTGAGAAGACACTTTGAAGTTTTATTGTTTGTCTTAACATTTTAAGTTGCAATTTCAAAGGCACTGTTTATTTATTATTTTAAAACATGGTGTTTTATAACCTGACATGCAAGGAATCATTTATCAAATCACTAGGTTTAGAAAATAAATATATTGTGTCCATTTTGGTAGAAGGAAATTAATCTATAGCGAGGTGTAGTATTTACAATTCACAGTAAAAATCTGAAAATAAACAGTATTAAACAGTTCATTCTTTCAACAGTATTTTCCTGTTAAGGTTTAAAATCACAACTTTTTGCTGTATTTACAAAAACGGTAGAAAACTGTAAATTTCAGCAACAGCAATATACCGTTAATTTTACAGTAACTTCCTGGCAACCCTACTGCCAGTTGTTTACTGTTTTTTAACAGGGGGAATTTCTAAGAGTGTGGATACGAGCAAATCTCAGTGACATAAATCACATATATTTGGCAGCTGTTCCGACTCCTGCATCATTGTATACATATAAAAGATAATAATAAACTTTTCCTATTATCAAGTTAATCTCTGATTCCACTCTACTGGCATGATACAACTGATGACCTTTCAACTTAAAGTATCCAAGACAGAAGTCAAATGTTATTTCTCTCTGAGGAGGAGTCAATGCAAATCTCTGATGTGTTCCTCCTCTACTTATGTGAGAGCAGAGAGGACGACAGAGAACAGTGGACACACAGTTGAACATGATGGACTATAGGACAGGACTGCTGCTTTTTACTGTCTGCTGGGCAGGTGATGATCATCAAAGTCTTAGTTTTCTCTTGTTGTTTGCCAACCATGTTCAATTGACTTTTTAAAATGTCTTTACAGGTGTTAAAGCTCAGACTCTGACAGAATCTGAAGCAGTGGTTAAAAGGCCTGGAGAATCCCACAGACTGACCTGTTCAGCCTCGGGATTCACATTCAGAAGCTATGAGATGAGCTGGGTCAGACAGGCTCCTGGAAAAGGACTGGAGTGGATTGCTTATATAAGCACAGCCAGTACACCAATCTCTTACTCCTCGTCAGTCCGGGGCAGATTCATCATCTCCAGAGATGACTCCAACAGTAAACTCTATCTTCAGATGAACAGTCTGCAGCCTGCAGACACTGCAGTGTATTACTGTGCCAGAGACCCACAGTGACACAATCTATCAGTAGAGCTGAACAAAAACCCTTCAGAGACTGAACACCAGTAACATGAAGCCACCAGAGGAGGAGCCCTCACACCAATAATGATTAACACCAAGCACTGAACCAGGGGAACAGAGCCTTTTCCATTGCTGCCCCTCTCCCTCTGGATCTCTCTCCCCAAACACACCTGAGACTTTACGGACCGACCACAATTCAAATCACTGATAGAAACATTATAAACACTGCTTTAGATTGCTAATGTTTCTTTTTCTACCATTGTTTAAAAGTGTTTTTCTTTAAATGCGACTCTGTACATCAAATAAATTAAATGTATTATAATTATTTTTATATATATTAAACACCAGTTCACTTTTACAGTAAGGAGAAAAACAGCTGTAAGACATTATGAAAATACCTTTGTATTAAACAGAATAACTCACAATTATCAGGATCACATTCACATTAGTAACTGAACCAGAGGTCTTTAGCTTCCTCTATGGTGATCTTATTCAATCAAATTATAAGAAAATGAGATTTTAATACCACTGTTGTTCTCTGATACCCTGAGCCCATGTGACAAAATCCTCCATGAATGTTGAGAACAGAAGACACCATCAAAGAACATGATGGGGATTAACTTCCTGTTAGATGTGAATATTTTTGGGACATGTGATCACAGATGTTACTGTATGTTCAATAACTGTCAAAAAGTGGAGCTGTGTGTTATTCTGCTTTGTGTTCTTACTGATTGGCTGCCTGAATTGAGATAGCGAAAAAAATAAACTAAAGATTAACAACTTGAAAGGAGTGTTTAGTATTTAATTCCAAAACTAAAGAACTGATATCCAAATAAAATGATTTTCTTATCTCTCCTGAGGAGGAGTCAATGCAAATCTCTTATGTACTACTCTACTTATGTGAGTGCAGAGAGGACGACAGAGAACAGTGGACACACAGTTGAACATGATGGACTATAGGACAGGACTGCTGCTTTTTACTGTCTGCTGGGCAGGTGATGATCATCAAAGTCTTAGTTTTCTCTTAATGTGTGCCAAATATGTTCAATTGACTTTTTTAAATGTCTTTACAGGTGTTGATGGTCAGACTCTGACAGAATCTGAAGCAGTGGTTAAAAGGCCTGGAGAATCCCACAGACTGACCTGTTCAGCCTCTGGATTCACATTCAGCAGCTACAATATGAACTGGGTCAGACAGGCTCCTGGAAAAGGACTGGAGTGGATCGCCTGGGTTGAGTTTGATAATGACAACAAATACTACTCTCAGTCAGTTAAAGGCCGGTTCACCATCTCCAGAGACAACAGCAGACAGCAGGTGTATCTGCAGATGAACAGTCTGAAGACTGAAGATTCTGCTGTTTATTATTGTGCCAGAGACCCACAGTGACACAGGAGGAAGTAACGCTGTACAAAAACTTAACGTGTCAAACAGTACTCTCTCTGTGCTTTTTATTTATAGAATAAGCTTCAGTTTGATGTGAAAAAAATAATAGATCTCTGGTATTCTTCCACATGTTATTCAAGTACCGTATTTTCCGCACTATAAGGCGCACCGGATTATAAGGCGCACCTTCAATGAATGGCCTATTTTAGAACTGTTTTCATATATAGGGCGCATCAGATTATAAGGCGCGTAGAATAGAACGTGTTTACAACTGAACAAGGCTGGGAGATATTGTGAATATATAAATATAAATACGTATAAAACGTAACGTATAAAACTACAAAAACAAAAGTACATAAGACGATTTCCCCAAATAATAAATTATTTCTTTGACGTTTCTCTTAACTCTCAAAACGTAGTTTTATACGTAGTGCATTCACAATAACTCCCAGCCTTGTTCAGTTGTAAACACGTAAAAGAAACACAGTCTGATACCGCTAATTCAAACGTTAGTGCAGGGGTGCCCAAATAGTCGATCGCGATCGACAGGTAGATCACTGACTGATTCTCAGTTGATCGCGAGATGTTTTGTCAATATAAAATACAATTGTAAAATAGAAAAGTGATTTCAATTTCATCTCATTGCACTGTTTCCCACACACGATACCTGTGTGGGGAGCCCAAGTATACTTCCGACCTGTGTGTATTTAATTTTTCATTTATTCATGAAATTGCTGCGTGCATGAGAGCGAGCGAGAGAGCGAGCGGGGGGGGGAGAGCGAGAGAGCGAGCGCGCGCAAGAGAGAGTGCAGGCATGCGCAATGACGTGCAGGTAAAACCCGGGGGGGGTAAATGTTTTACCAAAAAGTCATATATAGAAACTATGCTACGAGTATTAAGCGCATTTGATGAAGCTTTTCTCTGCTCCTCTCTGCTGTCATGACTGTGAGCATCGCGGGGGACGAGACACACCAACAAACAGCAAACGCAAACGCACACGCACACACTTGCACTGGAGCGCCAGCCACCACGCGAACCTTTTTACTTTTTACTTTTAGTGCTACAGTACACAGTTGATCCGTGATCTTTACGGACCGAGGCGTGAACACACGTGACCCGGTCAAATGGTCGGTTGGACTTTACTCCGTTCACTCTCACCGTGTCTGCAGCTAATTTAACAAAAGCAAAATCATCTCACAGCAGCCTGCTGTAGTCTGTAGTCTGCATTATTTTTTATAGAACTCTCATTTATTATTTTCTGTTTGTTGTGTGAGTATTAAATGCGTTTGTAGGCTGTTGGTAAAGGCTATGGCTCACTATGTGGACTGGTAGATCTCGGCAGACTGGTAACTTTAAAAGTAGATCTTGGTTCAAAAAAGGTTGGGCACCCCTGCGTTAGTGCATAACTCAACATTGTTCAGTTACGTATAACACGTAAAGCTCACTTTTTCAGTTCATTCCCCGTCCACGAATCCCTCAAATTCTTCTTCAGTGTCCGAATTGAACAGTTGGGCGAGTACGGCATCCAACATGCCCGGCTCCCTCTCGTCATTATCCGAGTCAGTGTCGCTGAGCGCCGTGTACAACCAGTATGGATCAACCAATTAACCAATTGATCCATATATAAGGCGCTCTGGATTATAAGGCGCACTGTCGTTTTTTGAGAAAATTAAAGGCTTTTAAGTGCGCCTTATAGTGCGGAAAATACGGTAGTATGATAACATCAAATATTTAGTGGTTCTGACTATAAACGTGAATCTGCTTCTTTGAAGCAGCTTGTCCTTGTAACTTTTAACTCAGGGAATGTGTCTGTCTCTCCTTGATTGATAAAAATGGAGATTTTAACACCTATTAAAATTATGTATTCAAGAGACATTTTAAATACCTACGCTCTGAGGATTTTCATTTTCTGTGCAAAAGACTTCAAACAAAATGGTGATAATAGACCATGTTTACAGAACAATGATTTCATCCTAGTAATAATTACCAAAGACACCAGCCTGATAAAAAAGAAAGAAAAACTTGTGCAAACCCGAAGCACACCATAAATGATGAGGCACCACTCACAGAGAGTGTTATACGTATAGGGAGGGGTGGGTCAGAGTAACTCTGCTGCAGAATGAGTATGTTTAGACGACCTGCAGAAAAGATCATGTTGAGGCTTTAAGCAGTGATGCAACCAAAAAAAGGGCGATAAAAGATCAAACATATAATGGCAGAGCATTGTGACAAAGTCTCTTAAAGCTCAATCACAAGAAGGAAACATTCAGCAGCAGTTGATTCGGTGGGTTCAGCCTAACTGTTGGTTTTAAATCATAGAGACAATAATAAAAAGCTTTGTGACCTGCAGGCTGTCACTTCATTGAATCTGATCTTGAACACTCTTGCTGCTCAATACAATTAAATCTGTAGTTGAAACTTTCCCTTCTTCAACATAAGTTGCTTGATTGAGTGATTCTTTGAAACTGAAGTGTGACTTTGTGTTAATCATGAGCACCGACTGCAGCTCTGTTAATATTTCGATGAACAGTCTGTAAACACTGAAAACTTTTAATCTGTTTTTTTTATACAAACCAGTGTTTAACATTTGAATAAACAGAATATTACCCAGTGGTATGTTGGATTTGCTGACAGTAAACAGTTAATATCAGAAAGACAGTAGGTTGGTTTAAATAATTGTATTAAATAGAATAAATAAAACTTCTGAAGATTAACATCCTTTCTGTTGCTCTTTTGGTTTTCATGGATGCAAACCATCGTTATTGCAGTGCTCCATTTCCTCAGAATATTTCACAATATCCATCATTCATTTTAATACTAAGAATAATAACAGATCCTTTTTGTTTCTAAGTTACGTTTTCATTGTTTATTATGATGCTGTTGTCCTCAAGCTTCAATGTTTTACAGTAAAAATCAAATGAACTGATGTTTGGTTTCTTTCAATGATTACAGACCAACTTTGAACTTTAATTAAAATATAAATAAATCAGTGATATTTCTCAGGCATGTTTGTACATGTTTGTATGTATAGACCATCACTGATGTTTCAAATGTTTGATTGTAAGCAAACTCTGACAATCTTTTTCTGGGGGTATCAAGATGATGAGTGATTGGACCCCAAATGATTCCACGCACATCTCGAAAAGGATAATTTTAGAATCAATGTGTTTATATGCGATCTTCATCATATTGGTGAGCAACATTCACTTTCGTTTGTATTGAGTATTAGATTTTGGTCCACACCAGAAGATTCCATGTTTGTTTTGTTTAATTTATTTTTACTTTTTAACATTGGAAGGTAAAAGTTAGACATTGTTTTCAGTTTGGGAAGTTGTTGATCCATCTAATTTAGAATTGATCTTTTTTCTTTTTCTTTCAAATATTCTTAATATAACTATGACAGAGTTCAGACAGCTCAGGAGTCACTCCCATGTTATCCGGATGCAAATGTTCAGTGTGTGCAGAGTACTTCAGTGCGGCTAAATGCTCTCGTACTTCTGTGGAGCATCAGAGGTCAGATCTGCAGCCTCAGGATGATGAACACACTCACTCTGCTGCTGGCTGCTCTCTCTCTGCCCTGTGAGTTCTCCTGCTTCTTCTCATTTAATCTTTTATCAGACAACTTCCACTGATGGTCGGTGAGTGATACCAGAGAACGCCACACATGTGAGCATCTCACTTTTTCTCTGCTTTCATCTGATCAGGTTGCACAAGTCAGAGTATGGAGTCCATGCCTTCCAGTTCAGTCATGAAAAGGCCCGGGGAGACACTCAGTCTGTCCTGCAGGGGATCAGGCTTCACTTTCAACTGCTGTGTTATGAGCTGGATGAGACAACCTGCAGGAAAAGAACGGAAACGGCTATTCCAACCCAAGCAGGAACACTTATGCCAGCAGTGCATGAGGCCGTGTAGAAATCAGCAGAGATGATAGCACAAGCATGGTGTATCTGAGACTGTCTAACTTGCAACCACAGGACTCTGCTGTGTATTACTGTGCCAGAGACACACTGGTTGAAGTGAGCAGAGAAGCTGTACAATAACCCCCCTTACAAATTGCCTTTCAAAGACCTACAGGGGGCAGCAGAAGACTGGGGTCGGATGGCACAAAGGAGGAGAATGGAACGCACTCTTAAAAGCAACATCTGTTTCAGTGGTTTGTGACTTCCTACATTCAACATAATGACATGCTTTTTAAAAAAAACATATTGTCAATAATGTTGTCATCACGTGTTTGTATCTTCAACTGTTGATACAATGAAATAATGATAAATTCTTGGATTGCTATAGCCCGTTTTAAGGGATCCAAAGACGATTTATATGAGGACAGAACAAATACCACAGAAACAAAAGACAAAAAGAAGTGAATGAATAAGTTCTGCTCGACACACAGCGACACAGGAGGGAGCAAAAACAGCACTCTGTATTCCATAACTGTAGAATGAACTTCAGTTTGAAATAAAATCAATACAAGTTTTTGTGCAACTCTGATGTTCTTCTGAATGTAGTGAAAATACAATTACTGGAAACTTACTCTAAATGTGAAACTGCCTGTGCCACATAATGATGGAATATAACCATACACTCCACTCACAATAAGTATCAGGATAATTGGCCTCATTCACAAATAGCGCATACCAACAAATCTGTTCTTGAACTGTTTGTTTCAAATGAGTCTAATCGACGGGCGCATCCATATTGGATATGCTGTCTTAGTGGGGTCTCAACCTAACTTCGGATCAACCTAGCAACAGCATCAAGGCGGGACCCGGCGGGACTTAACTCCTCCCATTCAGCTCGACGTTCCATTTCACATCAAAGCCAACAGCTAGGCTGCTATCATCCCCTAGTGCTTCCCTGCTCGTCCTGAGTTATCTCTATAAACAATAAGTTAACATTTTACTTTTCTACAACACAGTTAAAACGAATTATATTCAACCCAAATATTTAATTAAAATCTTAAAACTACACTTTCTTAAATATACAACTATGGTTATTAGTTATTTGTCAGAGCAGTTACTAGACTTTATCCAGGTTAGCAGAGCAATACATTAGCAGTTTTATCATAAAATGTAAGAAACATTTTGAGGCTTACCTTTACATT